CCAACGATGTTCGTTCTTGAGATTTTTTGGTTATTTGCCAGAGTTCTGCCCCATCTTTCATTCTACGAGGACTAGGAAGAAGCACTTTTTGCATCAAATTTAAACATGAAGTACATAGCTTGATATGAGCCGAGTAAGGAAGGAGGAGAAAGACAGACAGAGAGAGAGAGAGAGAGAGAGAGAGAGAGAGAGCAATAAAACAAAGTCAAAGATAGTCTAGATAAGTACAAGTGCAGTGGACAGCTAGAGTTGACTGGAGCAATGAAGAGGGGGATGAAGAAATAAAGACATAGAGTGAGAGAAAAACAGGGAAAGAAAGAGTGGGAGAAAGAAAGAGTGGGAGAAAGAAAGAGACAGACAGACAGAGAGAAAGAGAAAGGGAGGGACACAGAGAGAGAGAGAGAGAGAGAGAGAGAGAGAGAGAGAGAGAGAGAGAGAGAAAGGAGAGAGAGAGAGAGAGAGAGAGAGAGAGAGAGAGGAGAGAGAGAGAGGAGAGAGAGAGAGAGAGAGAGAGAGGAGAGAGAGAGAGAGAGAGAGAGAGGGAGAAAGCAACAGTGAGTGAGTGAGAAAGAAAGAAAAGAGATGAGAAACAGAGAGAGAAAGGGAGAAAATAGGAGAGAGAGAGATAGACAGAGAGGGGCAGACAGACAGACAGACAGACCGACAAGCAGACAGACAGACAGACAGAGACAGCCAGTCAAACAGACGGCCAGACAGAGAAACCCACAGAAGGAACCAGCAAAGACAGAGAGAAAGAAGTAAAAGCTGCCAGAGACAGCCTTTGATCCACCATGGCGCCTGATCGGTTGTAGATCTAGGAATTACACAATTTCCCGACACTGCATGAAGCTACAGCGAGCACCTAGCACATCTCTGTGATTGGCCCAAATACAGGACGTATTTACGCCATCTATTTTGTCATCTTCCAGGGCTTCCCTCGCCAGTTGACTAGATCTCACCAGAGACAATATTACGTAAACATACACTGTCTCTGATCTCACCGTGGCGGGCCTGCTTGGCAAGTGCGTGTCTGTGTGTGCGCACGTGCCTGTGTGTGAGTGTGCGCACACTTTTTTTTTGTTTCTCCCCCCCCCCCCCTCCCATTTCCTTTTTCCGCCTTTCCCCCATGCCCCAGGCTTTATTTTACCGAGCCTTTGGAGAAATAGAATAGAATAGATTTCAAGTTTATTTTCCCGAGCTTTCGGAGCAATAGAGCTGGCCTTTAAAAAAAACTATACGTCTAGGCCCTATTCATACTTGTTCTATCTAGATTCTAAATCTAGACCTAAATCTAGATCTATCTCTAATCTAGATCTAGATTTCTAGATCTTTATATGACATTTATTATTTTCATTACGATCTACAACGTCAGGAATACGTGTGGACTTGATGGCTGTTCAGTGAACTGTTGATACTCTAGAAAAGACCAACCAATAGCTTGAATAGGCATAGGGCTGAAGACGAGAAAATACAAGTAACAAAGCATAGGCCTAGCAAATCATACCAATATTAGACTTAAAAACCTTTACCAGGCCTAAAGTGTTAGACTCTTCAATCTCTTGAAAGTCTTGGTGCTGCTCCCCTGCTGAATGACTGCTAAAGGCCTCCGAATTTTTTTCTAATCTAGAACTTATTTCGTTTCGTAAATCTATGCAGCAGATTTAGAATCAAAATTTTAAAACGTTTTTTAAAACATGAACTTCGCACGCTCAGCCGCTCTCCTCTGTCTACTCTGCCTGCTGCATGAGAACTGAGAACTCAGAAGCGGCACAGCAGTGCAGAAGGCTCCCAACAGACTCGCGCTAGTCTTTAAAAAAAAAAAGAGATAGATCTAGATCTAAGGAGTAACATATGTTTTATTGGTTTACCGTTTTATTTTCCACGTTTAAGCCTAGCCTATCAGTCAACAGTAAGAGCTACCAATTGTCTATCTCTGTTGTGTTTATTATTTAAGTAGGCTAAGATCTCTGAAAAAAGAACAACTTCCCCATGATAGCCTAGAGAACCCTTTACAGATCTCCTGTCACTGTCACAGCTTTCAGATTCAACAGACGTGCCATGGTGAAGGACAGATGGGTTTCTCTTGGGGGACATTATACATATAATATAATCTCTAGTAACGTCCTTGGTTTCTCTCCATAGGTTAAAAAAAAAGCAAGAAGAAATCACTGTCAAGGAGGCGTAGGTTGTTTTGGAGAGGCATAAAGTAACTTTCTTGTTTCGTTTTCGTCTTGCAAGATAAAAATAATGGGCGTGTTAGTCCTTCTTTTGGAAGCAAGATACCCAGCTTTAGTAAAATTATTACTATTTTCGCGCGTTTTTTGGGTTGATGAGAAAAGGGGCAAGGACGGGGAGGCGGATATGTTTTTTAGTTAGGTTGCGTATGATGTCGGTTACTTAATAATGTTGTTTTGTTTTGTCCAGTGGGTGTTATTACAAATAACAATCATACAAAATAAAAAAATATATTGTTATGTTATAGTGCTACAAGTCTGATTCCTACATTCCCACAATGAGACGCCATAATATAATAAGTTGTCTTTCGAGGTTCTCTGATTTTCTTCTTCAGCATTGGGCTAATAGGGGGAGGGGGGGGGGTCGACTTGGCTGCTGAAGGACTTATGTTGTGTGTGACCTATTATGTTTATTTACCGGGTTTTTTTATGGTGTGTTCCAGAGTTCTATCCACTTCCATTCATCATTCTTTATTTCTAAATGTATTTTTTGTTGTTGATTGTTTTGTTTGCTTGGTGTTGTTTTTGTTTGGGGGTTTTTTTTAGTGGGGGGGGGGGGAGGTTGTTGTTCTTGTGTTTTTTTAGTGTTTTAGGATGGGTTTTTTTCTTCTTTTTTTTGTAAGAGTTTTACGCCGCTCGCAACTTCACAAGGTCGTATTATGAGCCCGCGGGACTTCTTGAACAGTGTTCAGTCAGTAGGAATTATTTAATTTTACCCAGGTGGCGGCCGAAGCCTACGTTATCGATTTTAGACCACCAAAGGGATCTTAAACGTGCGCAATTTGCACCCGAGACCTCCGAGGTTTTTAGCCCTTGTCCGAGAAGGCTAGGTGTAGAACTCTCCTAACAGAAGATCAGGGGTGTGCTGAAAGACAGCAGTAAGAAAGAGCCAAGGAGTAGCTGTAGAAAGGCTTCAGAAATTTAGAGTCTGGAGCCCAGAGGAGGGGGCATTAAAGAAGGTGAGGGTGGGGGGGGGGGGCAGAACGTGGAGACGAAAGCAGACGACAGAACATTGCTTTGAGAGCAGGAAAAGAGTTGAAAAGAGACAATTTTAGAGAAGAAAATGTTCGTCGCTACCCAGATTCGAACCCGGGTCCTTTGAATGAGAGGCGAACACCTAGACCTTTAGGCCACGAGAGCTCCCTGTTGATTTGTTTGCCCTCATATATAGTTGTTCATTAATTTTTATAGTGTCATTAAAAATTTTTTTGTATTAATTTAGAGGACATCATTTTTCTTTTTTCTCCTGAGTATAGGCCTGTGTATTATATATTATTATAATATATTATATATTATACATTATACGTTATATTTTTTACATTATATAATTTATATTATATATCATAGGCCTTTGAATAGGTCTGTTTTACTCAATAGCGCCTTGAGTGGTGGCGCTTGCAGCTTCAGCCCCACCTTATTTTTTTTTTTCACCAAAAAGTTACTCGATACAATTCCTCTGATTAATATCAAAGCAAAACATTTCACAAGAGTGGATAAAGAAAATAAAAACATAATAATGTATTCAGATAAAAAAAGAAACCCCAAGAACGCTCAATCGAAACTTTTGAGGCACAATAACTCAAAAAGTGATCTACATTTGTAATTGGTGTGTGTCTACTACTATTTACTATGACTGTAGTTCCATCCAATCAAGTGTTCCGACTGGAAGAATGAAATTTCATTGTTTTGTCCTTCAAGTTCTTATGCAGACTGAATAACACTGTGGTATTGACCTTGCATGGCTCAAAGCCGAGACAAAGAAACTGATGTTTCTATTCTGCCGTAAGCTGACAAAACGCCATTGTTTCATTTTGGCGCCAATTTTTTTTAATTTGTTAAGTCGAGAGATCGTGCTTTTGAACATAGCGAATGCTGCCCCCCCCCCCTTTTTTTTCTCCATTTGTTTAACTGTCTATTTGTCTGTCTGTCTTTCTGACCCCTATATCTCCCCCCCCCCCACGACCTCTCTTCCTCTTTTTATTTTGCCCCTCCCCATTCTCTGTCTCTTTGTCTGTCTGTCTGTCTGTCTGTCTGTCTGTCTGTCTGTCTGTCTGTCTGTCTGT